TAGAATCTTGCTTGCATGTGAAATCAATGATACTGTTCTGTATAGTTATAAAAATAGGTAAGGTTTCATGAAAATATTCCTATTGGTTCTATTTTAGGATTTCTCGCTCATATCGAGGGGTTGTCTGACATCAGTCACTGCTTCGGGGACGCGAACAGTCATATTATCAATGGACTTTGTCAACCAGATTTGGCATGTGATCTGTTAGTCCATATGCTAGATCAAGCATGTCATTCTCTTCATCAGTGATGGCATCTAACTTCTCATATATGTGACCTTCAAAGATGAGGTGACAGGTGGAGCAAGCCATCAATATCTAGGTTATTTTCAACCACAACATCTAGCAAAGAGTCACCAATTTTTCCTTTGGTGGTTTATATTTCACCATCACGGTTAATGAAGTGGAGTGTTACTTTATCTTCTGAGCTGCTCAGCACCCGCGGACGATGTGCTCAGCAGCCAGCTCGTGCCTGCACCCAGGCTCGGCTCCGCGCTCCCGCCCGACCCCCGACTCCAGGGAGGCCCCCGACTCCCGCACGGGGTCTGGCGAGGAGCAGCCATCGAGGAGGCGCGCAGGAGCCGGGCACCCACCGTGGCGGCCATAGCCAGTGGCTCGAGCACTCCCGGAAGCGACACAGGCCGCGAGATGACCAGACGCCCGAGGCCGCAGCGGGGACGCGTGGGGCTGCAGGCGGGCTTGGCGGGGCTGCGTGCGTCCGGCTGGCTCTCCTCCGTGGGTTCGGCTAGAAAACTAGCTTTCTGTGATATTTTATGTAAAACTAGTCTCTGTCAAATGAGTACTTCCAGAATGTTTGTCCGTGATTCTCAAATGATTTAAAGTGAATTATTTTAAGGAAAGATAAGGCAAGTTCCGCCTGAAGATTCTAAATGTCTATCTGTTGTTTTTCAGGCTTCTTTCATCTCATAATGTTTTGCCTCAATCACATATCCACACAAGTACTTCTCTTGACATCTCTCGAAGATGGGAGAAGAAGAATAAAATTGTTTATCCTCCACAACTGCCAGGAGAACCTCGCAGACCAGCAGTAAGTTTGTGGGTAGAACAGATCTTTTAATTTTGATAAAGTGTGCTTACTCTTATGTGGCTAGCAATGATTTATTGGACTATGTTAAAAAAATACATCAATTTGCATGATCCTTTAATTTACATGCAGGATGTAATAAATTTATCTCTTTGCAGGTATAAACATATCATTGCCTTTCCTAATTATTTGCCTTTATCTTTGGATTGTTGTTGTTGTCTATCATTGAGTTGGAACTGACCCATAGCTGACCCTCCAACTGGTTTTCAGAGGCAGAACTCACACGGGAGGAGACGGCCCTTTCTTTTCCCACAGTTGGTAGATTCTAACTGTGTACCTTTGGGATTGCAGCACAGCTTTTTGTCGCTAGGCCACCAGAGCTAGGGTTGTTAATTCTAAAGCTAAGCTAATAATAGCTCATGGCATGTTTTATGTGATTTTTGACTCTTTAAGAGGCTTTTAAAGAAATTCTTCCCTCTTCCCGCCCCCCCCCCCCCCCCCCAAGTACATACTTAGGTAATTTGGATTGTGGTAAATTTTTAAACTTGATAGTGGTAGCATGATGCTCTGAAAGATGGAGGGTCAGTGAAGGACAGGAAGACCCTCCATCAGGGGGATTGGCTTTGTGACTGCCACAGTGGGTTTTAATGTGTTAGGAAGAGTGAGGATGGCACAGGATAGGACAGGGTTCAAATCTGTTGTTCTTCATAAAAGAGAATAAGAAGTTGCTAAGAATAACTTAAACCACTGGCCAATATTTAAATCATAGATTTGGTTTTTTTCATTGTTTTACATTTGAATTTGGATATACTTGTTTTTGTAATTCAAACCGTGGGTTTGAATTTAAACATGAATTTCTACCAGAAATAATGAAAGTTTTTCTTTGGCTGCTCAGACTTATTTTATCATCTTCAACCTGTGCTAGAGATTGCTTTATTCTGAGAAATAAGACTAATAACTTTCAGTTTACTGTGAATTTTCTATGTAGTCATACACATCTGTTAAAAAGTTTAAGTAGATAATAGCATAAATAAGATGGTACTATTTTAGTCTTTAAGAAAATAAAGTGGGGGACGGGATTGTATAACAATGAAATAATTCTTCTTTTACTTTTGAAAGAGGAACGAACTGGCAGTGGAGGTTGGGCAGGGAGAAAAGTGCAACAATAAATGAATGGAAATCCAAAGTCTCTGTAAACTTTCATTAAAATTAATTTAAAAAAGTAAATAAATTAAAAAAAAGGAAGTGACAAAAACTTTAGAAGTAGAATTACTATGTTAATTATACTCATTTGGTTCACCAAACATCTTTCAAGGCCCATGGCATGTAAGGCTACTGGGTAATCAGTCTTTAAGGACCATGTTATTTACTTAGTATGCTCTTGTAAGCATGCATTTCATTGTTTAGATAGTCTGAATTAGTATATATTTTCATTTTTAGAAGAGTTAAAAATTTATTTGAAGACTTCCCATTTGGTTTGGAAATAAAAGGCAAAGAGATGCTAAAAAGTAACTTTTTTTGGTTATAGTAGAGTTAGGTGCCATTAGGTCAGTTTTGACTCGTGGCCAGCTGTATATACAACAGAACAGTGGTGTGTGCTTGTGCCACCTTCACGGTTTTTGCAATGTGGGAGTCCATTACTATAGCCATTGTGTAAGTCTACCTTGTTAAGACCTTTCCTCTTTTTTACTGACCTTCTACTTTACCAGGTGTGTGGTGCTGTTCTCCAGGCTCTGCTCTGTCCTGACAGCCCACCTTTTATTGAAAAACTGCTATGTATTAAATGAACTAAGAAAAATACTTTAGTTCAATAAATGTAGTAGGAAAAACCCTAGGCGTGACATTTAGAGAAACTAAAGCAATTTTTTTTTT